CGCCGCGGGCGGCACCGGTCAAGGGCGGCGGGCCGGGCGGCGCGGGCCGGGCCGGCGAGGGGCGTCCCCGGGTTGGGCGCGGGGCCGGGGCTCCCCGGAGCGGGGTCGGGGCCGGACCGGGAGCGGGGCCGCGTCCGGCCTGCAGTCGGCGCCCGCGCGGCGCGTCGCGTCCCGGGAGCCGACCCCGGGCAGGCGGCCACACCTCGCCTCTGGGTGTCGGGCGGCGGGGGGAGGTCGGACGGAGGCTGCTCTCGCCGGTCGCCGCGGCGAACTTGCTTCGGGAAGAGATAACTTTGACGCCGGCAGAGAACAGCCCCTTGAAAAACGAGGGAAAAGAAGCAAACAACCCAACTCTGCCAGCGTCCGCCGGGGCGAGGTCGGCGGGGCCGGGGTGCGATCGGCGTCTCCGCGGGCGGCTGCCGCAGGGCGGGGTAGGAAGCAAGCATCAGCACCGGAGCTTGGGCTGGGCTCTCCCTCTCGTCGGCGTGTGTGTTGGGCTTGCTGGAAGTTAGATAAACGTATAGAACGTCACGTCGTCTTCAATAAGTTATTCTCCCTAAAAACATCATTTTTTTCCCTGTTCTTTCTCTTTTTTTTTTTTACTTTTTGAGGATCGAGAAGGGCTGGCACTTTTCACCCAGTAACGTGGTCCTCCATCCGATCTGTGCCCAGCTCTGGTTTGTATAGCACCCCTCTGGAGTTAGGTTAGTTACTCCGGGAGCTTGGGGTGGGAGTGAGGGAGCGGTTGCTGTGTCCTTGGCCTCGACCGGTGGAAGGGCTTGTCTAGACACTGAAGTCCGGGAAGGGAGTTGAAAGGTCCGATGTACGTTTCGTGTCAGTGTCTGTCAGGCCCTAACGGGGTGTAGGCAGAGTGGAGGGTGCTGTCGGCGTAGTCAGGGACATGAATGAGACCCACCCTTCCTGGCAGGTTGGGTGGAGTTTAGTGAAGGGGGAGACCAGACAGCGTGAAGGGTGAATAAAGAGGCCAAAGGGTTGCTGAGTGCGACGGGGTAGACCTGGAGCCAGAGTGCAGGGCTGAGGGTGGCATGTGGGTGATGCAGGCGGCTAGCCGCGGGGCAGGGCCGCTCACCTGGCTTCTTGCAGAGGCAGCACTGCCGTCCCAGCCCCACTGCTTGTTAGCTGTGTGACTCTAGGTGGTTACTAATTCTCCAGACCTGCTTTTAAAAAGTCATCTGTGAGGTGGAAATCATGGTCCTTGCAGCATGGTGTTGTGGAAGGGTTCACTAAAGCGTTTACCACAGTGCCTGGCATTGGTGGATGCTGGTTACTGTTAGTAAGGAGAGATGCTTGTAGGAGGCCTTCGTAACCCACGGGCACCGAGAGTTGAGGGCAGACAGCTGTGTTTGCTTTATTTTGAACCATAGATGCTTGCTTTCTGTGTTTATCAGGAGGGACTGCTTTGGAGGCTGCCTGGCCCCCCGCGAGTCGGTTTCAGGGGAGTAGGCTGTCGACTGGCTGAGTTGAGTTAACAGGGCTTAGGGTCGGAGGGAGCAGCCCGATCAGCTGGGCTGCGGAGGGGGCAGCTGATTGCATTTTGTCTGTGTGTGGTTATTATGTGCTCATGTCCATAAGAAGCGGGTACTCTGTGCCTGCAAACTGACCAGCAGTCCGTTTTTTTTAACTGCCTGAGGTCTGTGCTTTATGGACTGTATTGTCATCATTGTGAACAACCAGAAATTTACCACAGCTAGGCTTAGAAGGGTCTGGTTCTCCAGGCGCTTGTCAGGACTGTCTGGGTAAGATCAGCGGAGCACTTACCTCCCTGTGGGGGGGAGGCCGGGCCCAGTGTTGGAGGAAGACAGCTTTGAAAGGGACAGGCTTGGAGCTGCTGCCTGTGGTCTCTGGGGAGGGAAGGAGCCGACTGGATGTAAAGCAGGCAGTTGGCAGTTCTGAAAGGGAACTAGAGATCTACAGAAAGGGGTTAGGATGGAGTTTGCTTATCTTCGTGCATGTGTTTTTAAACTTGGTGGATTGCATATCAGACTTGGTGAATCATGAATTCTTTAACATTTCCTTAACTATGAACCACCCCCCTTAAAAAAAAAAAAAAAGTGGAACAACCTCAGTAGTCAAGTTCTGATCTTCTCGAGAGCATGTTTCCAGGGTGGTGTCTGAGTATGCTAGAGCTGCGAGGCCCGGTGGCCCTCTGTCCCTCCCACAAGCTTACTGAGCGTCTGCTGTGAAGCATGAGGATGCAGAGGCCTGGGCTTCACAGCTGCAGAGGGAGTGAGCGGCAGAGACCCCAGCTCTCCCACCCTGGCCCACCTGCCACTCCACCTGGCCCCTCCTGTGAGGAGAGCCAGCCGGCGGCGCGTGAAGGGCCTGGCTCCTGCCCGACGCCCTTTACATGCTTAATGCTAGGACTTCAGTTAATCCTTTAGCCAGGTTTCAGCCTGGAAGAATTGGGGAAATGTGTGATTTTTTTTTTTTTTTTACTGTTTCTTGATATTTTTATTAATTCACATCATTCCGCGTCAACCGGTTTGTTTGGAATAGAGTTCTCATGTTTTTAATGTTTTTTGTTCTTTTGAGAAGCAGTTTCTCTGCATTTGTCCATCACGGGGACAAAGTATGGACTCAGCTGTAGGCAAGCGGTGCGCCCTCCTCCTCGTCTTCTGATCGCTGTTACGACCAGAAGAGCGGGTTACAGATGTTCGAGTGAGACCGCACCGTCCCTGTCGCTGAAAGGGCCTTGCTGAGTAATGCCGGCAGCCTCATCTTCAGCTCTCCCTGCCGTGTGTGAGGGAAGGGAGGCCTGCAGGAAACCTGCTCAGGGAAGCTAGAAAGAAAGCCAGCATGTCACAACTTGCTGCTGGACTTTGCTGGGGCTCCCTTGCAGGAGAGTTTTGCGACGAGCAGCTCGCATCCGTCGTCTTACTGTATGTTTCCTCTGCTTGGCATTGAGCGCCGAGGTGTGTGGTAATTTTTTTCCTCTTTTTTTACAAAAGTAATTTCTAACTTGAAAAGGGTTGCGCTTCTTGTGTAGGTCACCTCTGGGGTCCTTGGCTCTACCCGTTCTGGACAGCAGCTGACAGGGTGGCACCCTTGCCCGGAGCAGAAGCTGCATGAGCTGGGGCAGCGAGGGAGCCACCCCGCAAGTGTGGTAGTTTGGAGAGAACTTTTGTCCTGTCCTCAGCTGGCAGTGGCAGCCATCTGTGAGTGGACGATAGGCGTGTGGTTTACATTTTACCCGACAAAGCTGGGTCCAGAAGCTTCCCAGCCGGCATCTGGGAATATAGAAGAGGAAACACACTTCCTCTGCTCCTGACTGGTGGGGGCCTACGGGGTGAAGTTTGCAGGGACCTGCCCACCCGCGCCCTCTAGCCCAGCCCGCACCCTGCGAGCCCCTTGCTGGGGCCGCTCGGGCCTTGACGTCAGCACCTCCTTTCCTCCCTGGCGGCAGATTGAGGTGGGGTGAGGCGCAGGGTAGGGCTTCCTGGCTCTGGCCAGAGGAGACAGGCCTCCCGGCCTGGCGATTCACTCCACAGGGCGGTGGAGTTGGCGCTCTCGGGCAGCGCCCAGGGTGTGCTACGCGGTCGGGGGCTTTCGGGCCTGATGGGTCTGCCGGCAGGAATCCTGCACTCAGGTGAAGGGGATCCAACCCCGTGGATGCCGCCTCTGCGGGCATTTGAACCGGATGTTGATGACTTTCCCTTGGCACTTGGCCTCTGGGGAGGGTGTCGCGGTGGCTGGCAGTCAAATCCCATATGAGGGCACCCAGGCTGAGCTTGCTCGATTCTCTAGGGTTTGGGGTTTTTTTTTAACAGTCTCCTTGAGGTATAATTTACCTACCATAAAGTTTACTTGCTTTAAGCGTACAATTAAGTAATTTTTAGTAAAATTACAGAGTTGACCATCACCACAGTTTAGTTTGAGAATGTTCACCTCACCCTCGAAAGAAATCTCGTGTTCAGGGTGCCCCGTTCCCTCCCTGACCCTAGGCAATCACTGATTTACTTTCCATCTCTACAGATTTGCCTACTCTGGGCATTTCGTGTGGAAATGGAATGGAATCACAACACGTGGTCTTCTGTGACAGTTCACTTAGCTTAATGTTGCGAAAGTTCATCGGTGGTGTGTCGGCTGTCCTTTTTGTGGCCAAATGATATTCCATGGTGTGGAGACACGCACGTGTTGCCTCTCCACGGACACCTGGATTGTTCCTGCTTTTTGCTGATCCTGAAAGATGCTGCTGTGACCCAGCCTCTTCCAGCCGTGAGCCGGACCACTTCCTGCCACGAGACCTCCAGTCCCGACTGCGTTCACCGTCTGTCCTGGGCCAGACCCCGAGCTCAGGATCAGTGTCGCCGATGGAGAAGACAGTCCGCGCTCTGTCAGGCTGGGCAGCAGGAGCAAATGATGTGGCGGCAGAGGGCGGGCCGGGAGGGCGGCTCGGGAGGGTGCACAGGAGTGTTCCAAGCAGAAAGGAGGAAAGGTCACGGCCCAGGAAGGAGGAACGGCACGTGCAAAGGCATAGACGCACGAGGAGAAAAACTGCGGCCAGTGGGCCCCGGAACCTGTGGTTGCAGGGCACACGCAGGAGCAGCTGCTTTCCAGGCAGGCAGTCACTGTGGCCTGGGTGTGTGGCAGTGCTCGCCTGGGGCTACGGTGCATTCAGATTCCTCTAAAGAGGGCCACGGTCACACAGAGCCCTTGCAGAATGAGCCCCACGTGCCTGGACACTCTTGGGAACGCGTCATTTCTCATTTGTCCTCCTGCTTGGGGTGTCTGCAGGGAACCCTGCACAAGTGTCCCCGGGGACCCACCTGAGCACCCCAGGGAGGCTCTGCGGGTGGGCAGGGCCCGGGGCAGCCGCAGTGCCCTGTTCCAGCCTCCATCCTGGCTTCTCACCCCCAGGCGTCACTGTCTGCTGGGCTCACCGAGGCCTCTTCTCAGGATGCTGGGGAAGCCGGGTGGCACTGGGGCGCTGGCTGCTGGACTTGTTGTCCAGAGCTCATGGTGGCCTGGGAGGGGTTCGCTCGAGTGGGTGCTGGAGGCTGCCTCTGTGGGGATGCCTGTGTCGATGTTCTCACTGTCCCAGCCTGTCCCACATTGTCCTTGCTGTGGTCCTGGAAACTTAGACGCACCCAAGCACACGTTCTTGATTTTGTCAGGGACGGGCCTACGTGGCCTGGGAGGGAGGCCGAGCCCAGGCATAGGTGTGCTCGGCGGGGCACCCTCCGTGCCTGTGTTGGGCGCGTCGGCCCCGCAGGCTGGTCTGGGAGCTGGTCTCAGTGCCCAGCGGTGACTTCTGTGCGTGTCCCCCGCCAGCAGTGGCCGTGTCCGGAAGAGGCGGTGGCGCGGGCTGTTCCCAGCTGACTTGGCTGGAGGGCCTGCCGTTCTTTGTCTTCCTCGTGTTTGTTTTTCTTTCTGCACAGGATTTCTCCCGGCCCCGGGTACCCCCGGTGGTGTGCAGGGCTGTTCTATGGGACAGAGCCTGGGGACATGGGACTAGGAACAGTTGGAACCGGAGGATAGAATGCGGATACTTAAGGAGAAGACAAGGAGGTCGTTGGTGGGTGACTGGGCCACGTGTGACCCGTGGTCCTGTTTGAGCGGAGCCGTGTGGCTTTGGGCCGTGGCCACGTTCTCCTCGTCACCTGGTTTTCTTCTCTTTGAAGAAGTTTCCTTTGCCGGTGGGAAAGAGGTGCTGTGCACGGTCACCTGCGGTGGAATATGCATGCGTCCTCCCTGCAGTGGTTGGCATGTGTGTCCCGGGGATGATGCCGCACGGAGGCGCAGAGCTCCCACGGAGGGATCCTGGCCATGCTGGGAAGCAGGGTGGAATCTGGTGGGTGCGTGCTCGAGAGCCATTTTAGTAGGGCTTCTGGAGTGTCTTTGAAAAGGTGCCATTTGAGCTAAGACCTGGGGAGGTGAGAGATGGGAACAGGGCTCAGGGGCTGGATGGTTTGGGTTTGAACCCCGATTGCAGCTTCACGAGTCATGCTGTTTTACCTCCCCAAGCCTCAGTTTCATTGTCTGTGAAATGGGCGTAGTAGTAACCTTCCCAGCGGGTGGTGGTGGGATTTTATGAGGTGTCCACCGTGGAGAAGGCCCTCTGTCCCCTCAGAGTGAGGTGGGGCTTACCTGGCAAGGCGGCGCCTGCATGAAAAGTGAGTGCAAGGGCTCCGCACCCTGCGACCCCCAGGCCGCCTTCTCACTGTCACCTCTGCCCTGCCCTTGGGAGTGCTGCTGTGGCAAGGACCCAGCCCTGTGTCCCGACGCACGGCTGCCCTTAGCCCCGCAGCCCAGGTTTATGCAGTAGGTCTGGCTCTCGGGGTGACTTGTGCGGAAGGCGAGGGGTCGAGGGGTCAGGGGCTTGGCGCCCTGGAGGCCGCTTGACCCCATTCCCTGCCGATGGCGCCTTCCATCTGTAACCTGCCCGCTCCCGGTCCCCTGGTCGTGCCACACCCCCCTTCCCCCGCCAGGTGCCAGTGCTGAGTGTCGCTCTGGGGCTGATCCCGGGGTGGCGGGAATGGCGCGGCCTGAACTGGCTCACCCGGTCCGCTCTCCCGCCCCCGGGGTGCTGCGGGAGCTTCCCGGCCACCCCTCGCGTCTCCCCTCCCGCCGAGATGGCGAAGCTCGGTATGGAAGGTGGAAGGTGCTGTGGCGGCCTGCTGTCGGTCCACGCCTTCTGCACTGAGAGTCTGTCCTGGGCTGCTAGAGGGCCATGTGCAGAGGGCGCAGGCCTGGGCTGGGCTGCCAGGCTGGCTCTCCAGCAGCTCTGTCCTCCTCAGATCCCGCACTCGTATCCCCTTGTTGGTGCGGTCCAGCTCTGGTCGCGACAGGCCCCTTTGGCCTGTTCCCCGGGTTCCTCAGGACTGAGGGTTGCAGAGGGGCATAGAGGAAGCGGTTATCACCTGTCCCAGCTGCTCATTAGTGAGACGCTTCCAAAACAAATAGGCCTCTGGGCTGTGGCAGTTTTTATTCCACGGGGTGGGGCTGCCTCCCTCTTCCTGCCAGCCTGCAGGCTGATGGGAGCCGCAGACCCCCGGGCAGAGACTCTTCCTGCAGGCTTCTCAGAAGTGATGCTGGGGGCTTCTCCCACGGGGAGTGATGTCTCCCACGGGGAGGGCGTTCTCGAGGCGCGCCGGGGGCTGCAGAGGAGGCCTCCACGCTGGGTTCTCCAGCTGAGTGTGGACTCCTTCCCTACTTCCAGGCTGGCTCAGCAGGTGTCACGGCCCGAGCAGGTCCTCAGCGTGGCCCGGGGGACACCCTCGGGGAGGAAAAGTGTCTGGAGGCGTGGGGCTGCACCCACTCTGGCCCTCACCGCCTCAGCCAAGGCTTCTGAGTGGAAGGAAAACAGGGGCTTTTTACGACAGGGGCTTCGGAGTGGCCGGCCTGCTCCCGCAGGCCGGGGCTCGCTGCGCCTCCAGAGCGCTCACCGCCCGCTCAGAGACCTTCGTGCTTTTCGGTGGTTTGGGTCAGGCCTCTCGTCGGGGCAGCTCTCCCTGTCGGGCCCTTTCTCTGCACCCTTATGGGCTCCTTAACCCGGCTTGGCTTCCTTGGCTGCTCATCAAAACAGCCCCATGACTTGTTTACAAGGACTCTTCTGATTCAACGGATGGAGACGCCGGCCCAGTGGCCCCCGGGCAGGGAGGGGGACGGAGGTGATGTTTACTGAGTGGGGTCCCCCCAGCCCAGCAGGCGGACGGGAGACAGCCGGGCGCCCCCACCGCCGCAGCTTTATCTCGGCGGGGCCTTCCTAACAGCTGCAGGGGCCTGGGAGCGGAGGCGTGTTGAGTGGGGTGGACAGGAAGACCCAGCTCGTGGCCTTCACAAGGTCCCTCACCCTGCCACCCATGCCCCGTAGGAGTGGGAAGGAGCCAGTTTCCTTGCCGCGGCGGGTGGAGGGCATGGTCCCACACGATCCAGAGGCCACTGACACAGGCTGGGGGGGCCGCCAGTGAGGACAGGTGAGGTTGGCGTTCTTCGTATGTCCCCGTGTGCATTAGTGCTGGTTGGGACCGGAGGAGAGGTGGGCGTAGCGGGCACTCGGCCCCTGCACTCTGCTGGCCTCGGCGGGCAGGGGGAAGACGGCGCTCTCGGGGTGTCGTCAGCCCGCTGGAAACTGAGTCTCTGGCTGCTCAGAGAGGGGGACCTGAGGCGTTGAGTTCTCTTCTCAGACTGTTTCCTGTGGCCCCGCGTTGATGCCGCGAAGGGACCCAGAGACACTGAGCCTGGCGGCACTGAGTTGCTTTCCTCGCCTACCGGGCTGTGCCCGTGAAGGGCCAGTGCTGACTCGTGCCCACTTTTGGCTCCAGGGCCTGGTGCGTTGGCAGCTCGGGACCTGGTCCCTACGTCAGGTGAGGGACCCTCCCGTTGCCCTCCCCACGAGCGGGCTGCCTGCCAGTGGGTCTCCACCTGGAGTGGTCTCACCTTCCAGGGACGCTGGGCAGGGCCTGGAGGTGTGGTGGGGCATTGCTGCTGGCCCCTCGTGGGTGGGGGCCAGGGATGCTGCCCGGCATCCTGCAGTGCAGTGGAGGAAGGCTGCCGGTCAGTCTGCGTCTCCTCGCGGGAGGGCTGGGGCGGGAGCTGCTCGTGTGCGCGGGCCGTGCGTGCTTCCGTAGAGCGTCGTCGGCCTGCTCTTGGCTCAGTGGTCTAGCTTCTTATGACTGGGGTGAGTTCTTTCTACTTTAACGGTATTAAATGCCAAGTATTAAGAGGATAGAACTTGTTCTTAAAGAGACAGCTAAGAGCAGAGAGAGGAACTGGGAGTTGCTAGAACCCAGTCAGGGGGGGCTGTCTCACCGGCCCCTCCCGGCTAGCTGTGCTTCCCTTGGGCATGCGTTCTGCTGGCAGATGAGGGGACGGTAGGTGCAGCTGTGCTGGGAACCTGACCAGGGAACCCAGACGGGTCGGTGCTGTCTGCGCAGCAGGAGGCCCGAGTGAGCAGTGGGACAGCGAGTTGCATGTGTGTGTGTCTGGGCCAGGAGAGCCCCTGGACCTGTGTGTGCGCCTCTGGGCTGCGGCCTGGGCAGGGCCGTAGGGACAGACCAGAGCTTGTGCGCCCTGCCCTTTTCCTTCCTGGCCGCGTGTGAGCCCACACATGTGCACACACACACACAAGCATGGGGACTGTGCGCGCCATTTAGTTGATTCTGTCGGGAAAGACATTCCATCTATGCTGCCATCACGACGTGTTCAGGAGGCCCTTGCTGGTCGGGGCCGTGTGTGGTTCCCGAGGCCGTGGAGAAGATGGCAGGCGGTGGGCGCAGGGGTGACATGGAGAGCTTGGAGCAGTGTCGTCCTCCAAGGAGCCCAGGTGAGCTTGGGATGCCCCCAGGCCCCTCTCGGGAGCTCTGCGCGGCAGGAGTTCAGGGCTGAGCCGTCCCGAGTGAGCGAGCAGCTGTAGCCTGGCGTCCGCCGACCCTGCAGGACACTCACTCGCACCACCCTCTTTCCAGTCCCACTGCCCTTGTTCTCTCTTAGCTGTTGAAGGTGATGAATGAACAGAAAAGGAGTCACAAGAAGAAAATCCAGGCCTTGGATCACCCCCTGGGCTGCCCTGCCTTTCACTCCTCCCCGCAGGGCTGGCGTCCTCTCAGAGGAACTTCTTGCTGAGAGTGTGGGGCGGGT